TATATATATTTATAGGGGAGACATATCATGTAAAATCCACTTTTTAAGCCATTAATTGCATTTTGTTGTGAACTTGGAGTCTAATGCAGAAAAGTTGAATTTAGTGGGATGTGAAGTGCCTCGTTTACGAGTTGATCTGAGACACAGCTCAGAAAAGGGGTGAAAGAGGGGCTTGTGGAGTTACAATAAGGAGGCATTCAGATCAAAGGATTGCAGTTCCAATTTATATAGACCCCAACTGAAGAATTTCAATTCAATTCAAAAATATTTTATTGATCCCAGAGGGAAATTAGATCAATAAAATGTGAAAAAAAGGATTTAAAGGCAGGATATGTCTCCTTTAATGTGGCACTCTAAGTGTCACTCTTAAATACTGTAAACTCAAGCAGTATATTCATGGGGATAAGTGCATTAATTAACTGGGTTTCTTTTTTAAAAAAAAAACCAGTTTGTGTCGTGGGTAAAAAATAAAAAAAATCCCCAAAATTTCCAGTCTCACACTTAAGTGGGACACAAAAAAAGCAGTTATCCAACTTGAGCTCATCTTATTCACCCTCTTCCTATTGAGACTCTCAGCCTCTTCTTTTGTTGCTCCCCCTCCATCAGTAGTGGCATTTCCCATCTTTCTCCTGCCTGTTCTTCACATCACTTCTTACGTATGATTACGAAAGCGGTGAAAATCCCAGCTAGGAAAACGCACACTGTCTGCCACGTCGGGGTGCCAAAGTAGGAAAGAATACCCTCCTTAAAAAAATAAAAATAAATAGAGAGGCATAAAAAATTGTCTCAACACAAGCTGAACTCTTTAAATAGTTATTGGTGTAACATTCATTAGTTAGCTGCTTACCCAGCCACCTTGCTCTTTAATCCAGTTGATCAAATGTTCTCGGAGGAAGTCGATGGCCCAGTTGATTATGGTTCTGATGATTTCAAGAATTCGGGGTTTATAAGCCTGAGAAGATGTGAAGAAAAGTTAATTATCGACATTCTGGGCTACATATCTGTAAAAATTGGGACATTACATAAACTGAAAATAAAATCAGAATCACAAAAAGCTAATATAAATTAATATTTTAGTCACAACTGAACACAGCAAACATGTAAGAACATTTACAATTTTACAACAGCATCCCATTTTGGTCATGGAGATTTCTCCAGATTTTTTAAAATCGTTTGATGATGTTCTGAATTCTAGATGATGGAATATTTACGTAAAGTCTTCTTAATTTACTTTTTACAACTTTTAGTTGTGCGGTAACAATGTTTTTAAAATGCTGCTGTCAACATATTCAAAATTACCTTATTGTCTTTAAAGATTTTACAGTATTTTTGGTTTCAATAAATGGTCAGTTTATGCTTCACTTACTTGGATGACAAGTTTGCAGACAAAGTAAAAAAACGTAACCACTCTGCCCCAGTTGAATTTTCCATCTTCAAAGATCAAACGGGCAATTCTTTCAAACACTTCCACTGAAGGCTTGATTGAAGAGTCATTTATAGTTCTAGAAATAAAAAAAAACATTCTTATTTGTGCAAGGAAATTACAACTCAGCTGAATTTGGAAAAAAATAAACAAAAAACACGACAAGTTTGAAATATTTGTGTTGGAATTTGCAGCTCAGGAACACAGATAGGATGCCTACGTTTGAAGTCCTGCATCGTTGTCCAGCTCATCTGCAATTATCTGCATGCCATGAGCGACCTTCTTGTGTTTTGGTTCGTGCAGCTCCTCTGCACCCAGGTCTTCTCTGGTCAGTGTGATGGAATTCACATGTCGCTGAATCCAGTTGTAGATAAAACTATACAGAAAGGCAATAAAAATGTGCTCTGTAGAGTTGGAGAATAACTTAAAAAATTAACAGTACTATTAATTTGAAGTTGCTAATATAGACATCTACAGTATAATGTCTTATTCTATGTAATTCCTCCTGTTTGCAGGAAATGCCTCAATAGTATTTTCTGCTTTGCCTTTCCAGGCAGCCGCTCCTAAAACCAGACGTGGTTCTAAATGAGGAGCTAAACATTTGATATTTAAAGTGCCTGTGACATCATTTTTTTGTAATAAACATGAAAGCTTTTTTTTGGAAAGARAATATTGATAACATATTGCAAAACAAATTTCATGTCGCTCAGATGAGCGGTTGTTGAAATATCCGCATGTGAAGAAACAGGAAGTGATGTCAAAGGGGAATGTTTGCATGTAAACAGAGCGTTGTTACAAAATCTAACAACACAGACTTGTAGAGAGGAATCGGATGTTTCTTTAGATTATTTTACGTCGCCATCAAAGACAAAGAAGAGTTAAAGTTTAAATATTTTTCTTTTAATAAATAGAGACCAGAGAGTTTATTTTATTAATGAGTTCCCCTTTGATGTCACTTCCTGTTTCGCTTTGTCTGAGCCAATTTCAAAAGAAAATAGGCCAGTTATGAGACAAAACGTGTAAAATCATGTGTACAATGCCAATTTTTAAAGTGTAAAGATGCTTTCATTGACTTTTTGTATTTGAAGGATGGGCACGTCACAGACACTTTAACATTAGCATCCTTTTGAAATCAATAAAAGGATAATAAACATAATCATCACAGAATCTATTTTTCACCAGCYATGGCAGTGAATCAGAAACACCTACAGGTGGTGGGAATGGTTTTGGTTAGATAAAAATTTAAAACATTCATTATAAAAGCCTAATCAAAATGAAAGGAGGTTCAGAGTGGCTGAAGAAGTATTGTAATAACAAACAAGTAACATAATAAAGTTTCCCAAGTAAATGACTAAATTAAATAAACAACAACAAATGTTGCTACATGTACTTACTCTTTTAACAGCCTAATTCCCAGGTCCAGGATCTGATCTGTGATATTTCCTAAGAAACAAAGTTCAATGAGTCATTCATTWCCCGTAACTGAACTGAAGCCGAACCGGCTCATCTAAGAAAATTAGCTATTCAATAAATAGTTATTTTTGTTTTTCCATAGAAAAGTRGTCTGAGCATTTATATCCACTGATGCATTTATCTAAATTAGACTCTTTTGTATAGCATTTCAATCATCACGTACAACTATTTTCATTAAAAACTTTTTAAAAGTTGATCAAACTCAGACGGATCCTTTTTACACCCTTACAAACAAAGCGAACTGTCAATTTGTCAGTCTCTCTACATCGGTTACTTAATCARACACTGTCACAGCTTATTACGATATAAATAATAAAATATAGTGGCGATACTGACCACAACCTTGATCTCCATCTCCCCCAGATGCCATCTTGAGTTTTATTTTCTATTTCCGTGTGACGATGTAAAGAAGCTTCAAAGCCTCCTAGTGGGCAGGTCGGTAAACTCAAAACTGTACATGTCGATCGATGGGTGCAGTATCTGATTTGTTTGTTTTGGAAGTACTTGGCAAATGTGTGTAAAACACTGTAAAATACTGCTTTTTAAAATTCAGAACAACATATAGAAACAATTAAATAGATAAATATTCATTCAAACAAAATACAGTTTATTTTGCCGATTTACTGGTTGCAAATAAAAACTTTGGTAAGTTTTTTTTTAACAGGTAATTGGTTCTTTATTTTGAAAGTTTTAAAAGCACGTAAACGTCATTTCCTTTCTTCTCGCCCTCTTCCATCCTGCGCGCGCATGCTCAGGCCTCTTTACGACTCGGCTGGCAAAGATGGCGGAAGCTCAAGTATGTAGTCCGAAGTAGCGTGGTGCATTTAAGTCATAAAATATTACTCCTAACAAGCGTATTAGCCAGCGGAAATGTCGCAAATCCTGTTGGAGTGATGTTACTCCCTTTTGCCGAACCGTTTAAAATATAATTACACGCTTATAACTTGGGTTTATTGTCGACCCGCACCCCCTCGTGTAACGCTAAGCTAGCCGGAATGCTAACTTTGTTAGCCTATTCGGCTATTTGGATTTCCATTAATGAAATGCCGCATTTTAACATACTGTGTCCCGTTGTAGCGCCTACAATCATGCACAGTATCTAGTATATTTATTACTATGCTTAATTTTAGACGTGAACAATTGCTGTTTTAGCAAAACAGGAAGTCAGCTTTGATCAAACGGGTCATCTGTCGGCAAAATGAATGTGGATTGTCTYAAATTCTCATCTTGTGTTTTTTATTTACAGACCGAGAGGGCTTATCAGAAGCAGCCCATAATCTTCCAGAACAAGAAGCGTGTTCTGGTGGTTGAAGGTGTCAAGGAGGGCAAAGAGAAGATCCCTCGCTACCACAAAAGTGTCGGTCTGGGCTTCAAAACCCCAAGAGAGGTGAGAAACTGGCCCAGATAACCTACAAACCTCAGCAGGTCAAACATTTGTTTATTTGCAAATGATGCTTTTTCTCACGATGGTCTTCCAAACCTGCGTGGTTCTGACGACAGCGCCTTTAGGCAACTCTGATGCAGTCGAAATCATACTTGGATGACTCTTGGAAGGGGATACTTGAAAAATAATGGGCTTTTTTTCCCCCATCCCCACAGGCTATTGAAGGCACTTACATTGACAAGAAATGCCCCTTTACTGGAAATGTCTCCATCCGTGGCCGCATCCTCTCTGGTAAATGACTTGTAATCAAATTCACCTACATGTATCTTCTGACTTGTGTAGATTGCCACACTGTAAAATAGAGCCATGAATGATAAACATATTTTTAAAAGATTAATCCTCCAAATGATGACTTAAATTTAGCTTTATGTGTTTTCAGCAGGGTATACAGTTTTAAGAATTATACTACCATCTATAGACAATGTCAGAATGCAGTTTTCACTCCCTTTTGTCACCGTTATGCAAATGATGCTTTTTCTCACGATGGTCTTCCAAGCCCTCTGGGTATTGACGACAGTGCCTAATGGCATTGCTGATGCAATCCGGTGACAAAAATTGAAATCAAGTTATTGCATATCTCCTGAGACTTGACCTTTCTTTACAACGTCTGCGAAATTCAAAGTTGTACATGTGTGTGTGTGCTGAAGGTGTGGTGACCAAAATGAAGATGCAGAGGACCATCGTCATCAGACGTGACTATCTGCATTACATCCGCAAGTACAACCGCTTTGAGAAAAGACACAAGAACCTCTCTGTCCATCTGTCACCATGCTTCAGGTAAGCCACCCCTGAATGCTGTTAATTTAGCTTTAAAGTGGTTACGTGTTTTCTCTGTGACTTAACATGAAATACCTTAATTTAAAATGGTGTATGTATGTATTTTGGATTGTAAGATCAGTACCAGAAGCCATTTGTTTATAAATGTTAGTTCTTCATTAAAGTTCACTGCAAATGATGTTTTTCTCACGATGGTCTTCCAAGCTCAAGGAGCTCTGACGACACTGCCTCTGGCAAACACTGATGCAGTTTTGCTCTTAATTGTAGAGACACGTTTCCACAGTTATCCAGGCTTTTTTTTTTTTTTTTTTTACATTTACTCTTCGACTGTTTCCTCTGCAGAGACGTCTCTGTTGGAGACATTGTGACTGTTGGTGAGTGCCGACCCCTCAGCAAGACCGTGAGGTTTAACGTCCTGAAGGTGACAAAGGCTGCTGGAGCCAAGAAGCAGTTCCAGAAGTTTTAGGTGTGATTCTGAACAGGAAGGCTGCTGCTGGCCAACCTGTCTCATTGTCAAATAAAGAAAATCTTGTTTAAATTGTGTTTGTTTTTCCTGAGCAGTCTTTACAGTCTTCTTGGTGGGTATTAAAATGTACAAAGTGTACATTGTAGAAAAATTGCATAAAAATCATCTATTCAGTCATTAATTTATTCTAAATGTATTTGTTTATTTTACATTCTTTTCCTGTTATACCTAAATGCAGCTTGTTAGCTCGGTTCCTGAATACCTGAGAGCAAAGAAAAATTTCCTAAAGCTCAGCCTGACCAGATGTTTTGCATCAGTTGCCTTAGTTGTGACATTTTAAAGATTAGTTTTCCAGACATTTAAGGACCTACTTTCAGTAGAGAAAAAGTATTCCGGCTGCAAACTTACAAAGTTACAAAGTCCGTTATTGAAGATGAGAAGGATTTGATGCTACTAAATCACATTTTGAATACTTAAATAAGTTTGAAATTAGAGGAAAGCAAAAATCAGATGTTTTTTGCAAAGCACAAAAAAGCTTTGCAGCTTTCACAATATTTTTTAAGAGTTTTATGGTGTAACAAGTGTTTTGTGTAAGATGCTACAGTTTTTTTTAACGAGACGACATGGATCATAGTTGTGGATGACTTACAGAAAAAGTACAGTTTGATTTATAGTAAACTGGAATAAAGGTAATACTAATAATAAAATATGTAAAGAGGAGCTGTGTTGTGATAAACGTCAAGTTCCAGAAGACAGAAGGAACTAGACATGGGTTTTTACGATGTAAAAACAAGTGTGCATTGCCACGTTGCATGTCATTGCAGCATGGCTTTGCCTGCAGCATTGGACTTGCAAAATGAAATGGGACCAAGTTCAAARGTGTTTCCTATACCAGCTTGTGCCTATCACGTGAGCAGGTGTTTGTAATTAAGGTAATTGAGTGACAATATGAAGTTGGAAGAGATTTTTTGTTAACTTTGCATTAGCCAGGTTTTGAACCCTGATCTCCCACATGAAAGCCCACAGTGCTCATCATGAGACTATATAGACTATATATTATATAAATGAGTTACAACAACACCTAATTTCCGTCTGGGATCAATAAAGTATTTTTGAATTGAATTGAATATAGGAGATGTGGCAGAGGACAATCCCAGGGATTGGATTGTATGTATACAGAAAAAGTTTACCTTGCCAATGCAATTATTGACACTTAAGTGCAATATATTACAGCAATAGGACAACATAAAGAATATTACAGTAAAACATCAAAATACAATCATATTAATATTGTAATCACTGAACTACTGAGTTTAAATATTATGAAACTATGGTGCAGTACCATATTGTGTAGATGCAGCAGGGGGCAGTATTGGACCAATACAAGGCTCCATTGACTGTCATTATAATTTATTAAACATTAATATTTCAAAAACTATAAGTTTTACAGGCACCAAAAGGCATAGCCATCATTTGGCACAGGGGCTTTGCAGATATAAATTACAATGGCAGCTCTAGGACAAAGTATGCAGGAGGAGAAGCATGGCAAAGTTGAGAWGACTTGTATGGGAAACGAATCACAATAGTGTGCATTGCATTGGCAATGCACACTGATAACTTGTCACGTCTTTGTACTTAAAAATGTGCACTCAGCTGCTCTTCTCAGTGGTTCAGTTTTTTTTATTTATTTTTTTATTTTTTGGTCTCAATTCTGTAAATACTGCCAGCAGAGGGCAACAAATTGCTACAAATATAGTTTTTAAGCAGTCAGGGAACTCAGCTTGTGTCTGTGCCTCATACTCATGAAGAATGCATAAAAAAGAAGCAAAGCTTTATGCACTGTAGCAAGAGATTCAAAGAGTGCCGATGCAGCTGCTCCTCTACATTCCAACACAGCTTTGTAATCTATGAAACAATGCCTATGTTTTGATGCATAAACTTGTTTAAAGAATGGAAAGAGAAATATCAAAAAGGAATTTTAAAGCTGCTGGCGGCGGCTTATCAAAGCCACCATGGTAACCACACATCTGTGTCTCACTCCCTGACTGCCAAGTGAAGGGAAGGCAGAGAGAAACGCAGAATAAACACAAAGCTGCTGTGCAACAACTTTAAATCAGACTCATAAAACTCCTGAACTGAATGACAGAAGACTGATACATTGTTTACGCCTGCAGTGGTTTATGACAAGTTAAAACTCAGTGTTGAAGAAAATATTTTGAGCTGACATTTATGGAAGCTTGGGTGTGTTGCCAAAAGTTARAGCACCTTATTCCCAATTGAGACACACATTTAAACGTACGGTTTACATAATTTCTTCCGAAACCGCAAAAGCATGCTTCAGTGCTCACACACTGGCACCGATTTGATTTAAGCGATTATACAGTATAAATTTAAATTTACTGAGGTGAATCTCACTTTAAAATGATGAAAATGCAGCTTCGAACAAGGAACTCATAAATTCAAGCAAAGTTGTTGAGCTTGAACATGTTTTCCCACAGTCATAACTTAAACATTTCTGAAGTCATTTAAATGTTACAAAGCTTAGTAATAATCAATACTTGAGCTTAAAACTGCAGCTTTTTTTTAAATTATCTGTAAAATGTAAATGAATCAGATTCTGAAGCCTTCTTGTCTCCAATGATGCTCCTGACCCACTTCCCTTGTGCAGTTGCAGTCACAATGATGCTCAATAGTGTCTGAGATCATGATAAGAGCATTCAGATGCGCAACAAGCGTGGATCAGTGTATTCAGGGCCTGTCTGCATCAGCTGATTCATTTGCATCTGTCCCTATTCCGGATTGAGAAGAGGGCTTTTTCTGTATGGGAATCAATGAGGGGCCTCCCACCCATCCACCCTCTACCGTCTGGCCATGAAGCTGAGGCATCTATTAACATAATGATGCTAGAAGCTTTTTCGCAGTGTTCCAGTGYACCATATGGTGATGAGGAGGAGGAGAAAGTGAAGAATATGAGCTCAGTAATGTGGATTTCAGTCATTTAATAATTAGCAGGGTGACCACCTGTTGTTCAGAAGCTTTGACACAAATGTTTAATGTAGAATAAATAATAAACACAACAGCTTTTTTAACACAAACACACATACACARACACACACGTCCTTGTACTTGCATCAAACTGAGGACTTTGAATTGACTTCCATTCATTTTTACCCAGACATTTTCCCTCAGTAACCATTACTAGTTCCTAACCCTAACCTGAACCAAAACTTCATTCTAGCACAGTAGAGCTTTGATAGTAACTATTTTGCAAGTGGTCCTCACTCTGTAGCAGAAACAAGTATACACACACACACACACACGTTTACAGAAACAGCAGAGTCTCAGCTTCGAAACATTAATTCCCCTTTTCCACTAGTGCCACTTAGTGTAGTGTCGGTACGGTTCCAAGCCATTTCCATTAGGCCAGATCCATGGAACCGACACTTTTTTTTGTACCTACTATGCTGTGGTTCCAAGCGGCCCCAGCTGACACCAAAATGCGACGTCAGAACACTGTTCGTCACTGATTGGCTAAATTTTTGCAAATGTTTAAAATTTCAAAAGTTATTCATCAAATGTGTTTCCATCTCTCATTTTACCCATTTTTTTTTTCCAAAATACCTAAAAACCACCACCACCAACTGCTCAAAACACACCCATTGGAACCGGACTGGAACATCAATGGAAAACCAACTGGTCCGACCTACACCGCCGACACTGCACTAAGTGGCACTAGTTGTGCTGTCCTGTTCCAGGGCTTTCCCAGCCCCTTCCACTTACATTAGACATACTACAGGAGGGTGGGAGGGCTTCTTCAGGGTTGTTCAGTGAACAACAGGCTCCTCTCACAATCAGAGACCCCCCACCCCCTGAGGAGCGTGACAGCGCAGACCACATGAGTGCATTTATGGACACATAATGTTTGCTTGAGGGAAGAGCTCTGATCTCTGAAAAAGTTTGAGCAGCAATAATAAACCCACTCTAACTGTCAAACTGTGATTAATGCTGATTTCAGATGGTGGGATCAGCTGATCCACATGAGCCTTTTTGTGAAACACAAAGTTCTGCAGAACGTCTGATGCACTTGGTGAAATCCTTTCTGTGTTTGTACTTGTATGAGCTGGAATTCAGAACAAAACCTGCATTTTTCATCATTTGTTTTGAAAAAGATAACGAACTGAACTGATGAAAATGGACTACAAAGAGAAAAACATTAAAATACACCTTTCATGTCATAGTTTTGGTCTAATACAGGGGTGTCCAGAGCTTTTTCTGCTCCAACACAAGTGTTTTGAATGAATGGGTGCTTATCAGACTTCTGCAGAACTTGAAGAGGAGGCCATTTAATCACTGTTAAAACCCATCTGTCGTTCATTAGAAAATATGCTCAACAATCAAAGTTGATCACAATAGTTAATGCTAAATTGCTAAATTGTTATACTGTAATTCAGATATTTTCTTAAAAGACATGCACACAAACATATTGTCCTCTCTATGCTTTTAGTAGCAAGCAATAATTAAACTAAACCTTTGAATTACAGTGTTTTTTTTGTCTTTTATTGCTAAACACAGTAAACACTCCATAAATCTTATTCTGTCTTGAGCTTTTGCTAAATGACTCCAAATGCTCAACGTGGAGGCCTCAGCAAAAGGTGAGGGCGAAGTTCCTGATTTATTATAGCTCCTCCTGTCACAAGCTGGCAGCTCAACAGGACGCTGCAATGTCTGTAAAACATGAAAACTCTTCCAGAAATCTCTCAAATAAAGCAGGTTTGCTTTGTTCAGCGACATGGAACACGTTTCGGTGCGTTGTCATGTCTCCAAACAAACAACCTCCTGACAGCGTCTCGGCACATCATTCTTCTGACACACTTTCCTGTTGTTCCATCCATCCGTGTCTGTTTTGTGTCTGCGGCTGCAGCCGGTCTCACCTCACCTTCCTTCCAGTTTGCAAACGTGTTTGCCCAGTGTCACCCTGCATACTTGGAGGCGCACGTTACTTGTGTATCTAGCAGCAGGGGTGTTGTTTCAGAGGGTCGGGCCAGTGAGGGTAATGACCACTATCAAAACAA